GAATTGACTTTAATTAAGAAAAGCCTGTAAATTATTTTAAAAATCTGATGTGTGTGCCTCCATATTGTAGGTTTCCTATCTGATTGAATCATATAGATGAAATATAATTTTCCAAGGAAATTATACATTCAAGTTGAGTACCTTTTTCTGATCTGCCTCTGCTTAAGAAATGTATCTTTAATGTATGAGAGCACTATTGCATAAATAAAACAAGCAATTACTAGTATATTCTTTTAGCATAGTGCATATTTTAATTATTATTGCTGAGCATACATATTGGAATTTAACTTCCAATTGAAACATATTAAATAAATAAATGTTAAATAAGCTACAAAGTAAATACACCCAAAAGCACAACTTGCAGCTAGAACCAGTGTGTCTTTTTACTGAGGGGCAGAACATTTCAGAAAGCCCACTTGAAAGAAGAAAAGCTGTGCACAATTATATATAAAACACAAATTCCACTATATTTATCCAGTTAAAACAATACTCACACTTATCAAGTAGAGGACATTACTGCTAAATTGCAAATGACAATGACTAATTCTAAGAAAATATATTTTTGTGAAATGTTAATCATGCACTAGAATTTCAGAAACTTTGCTCGTATATGGCATGGAGAGTGCTTAAATCTTGACTGGTCTGTATGATAATGTTGCCTGTGAATAGGTTATAGGTAACTGTATGATGTATTTTATGTATTGAAGTAATTTTAAGATTTGGGATCTGCAGTTATACTAATGATGGCCTATTACTTTACTTCTTACTAGCTTCAGTTTTATCCCTTTCTTACACAGTTAAATAATTCCTTATAAGTAGTTTCATGTTCAACACAAATAGTATGCTGTATCCTCTATAAAGTGTGCATAAGCTTTAGCAGTTCTAAACTTCCAGAAGTCTTTTGTTAGGCCAAAATCATAAGACTGAATAATCTAAGATGTTAAATAGTGCTTTAAAAACTAATAATCCAGTCCTCAAGGAGTACAAAAACACCAAACAGGAACCAAAAATCTTCATATGGGTCTTGTATTAAATAAAAAATGAGTTTCCTGTATCTGGTCTGAAACACCAGATGTAAAACAAAATATCACCAAACTGAACTGGATTTAAGACATGAAATATTTTAAAAAGCTTTCTGTTGCTGGAGGACTAAGATATTAAAATTCAAGTCTGTGTCATTTAAATAATTTTTATTAAGATCCTGTTTTGAAAACCTCTTAAAATTAAATAATTTGTATGTTTAATATTGAGTTAAAAGTTAACTTTGTAAATACTCAATGGACTGCTCTAAAATATTTTTTTCTTCCCAGCTTGCCACAAGTGAATTCTAAAGATTTATTTCAAAAACAGTGGTTGCTAAAAGTATTGTATAGTTTTGTCTCAAAAGCAGAAAGACTTTATTTCTGTTTTACCAATATGATATACTCCTGGGAGAATTCTGCTCCTTAAGAATTCTGCGTCTAAAAATTAAAAATTCTGCAAAATTCTGCATATTTTATTTGTCAAAATAACACAATATAATCACACCAGTTGCGAATATTTTTGTAATTTATTTCAAAATACTTGTCAGTGAGTATGTCTGTAATAATAGAGATAAAAAAAGATTCAGGAAATGTTGCTTGACTGAGGCTCCCACTGTCACCCCCAGGCGTCTGGGACTCCCACTGTATGCACTGAGACAGGTTCCCCTATTGGCTCCGATTTCATGTCTCTGCTGTTGACTCCAGGGAGGCTCAGATGTGCTCCTGGACCTCATGAACTGTTTGCCCTGGAAGGGATGAGGTCTCTAGCTGCTAAGAGGGCCTCCTTCCTACGTCGGATCTGCTGCCTTCTGGTCATGTCCTGTAATACACCCCATTTTGTCTGCACCTCCACTTGTACAGGACTCCAGTTTTTCTGAGTCAGAGGACTCTGATGGTATGCGTGGTCCATTGCTTCTGTTCTGAAGGCATGACTACCCGAAAGTTCTGATGGCGCTGTGGCAATACCTTCCATTGTCTCCGCTTGAGAGCCACTGGTATCTGGCTCCGTGGGCACTGCCACCGCAGTATCAGGATCAGCCAGGTTGGCCATATTGGAGCTTGTGGCCCCAGTATCTGGCTTTGGAACCGTCCCAATCCACCCAGGAGGAGTCCCCAATTTCACCCACCCGTCCTTTGTTGAATAGACATTTGGAATCGGGACTGGACGATGCACCAGTTAGCCCAGCTCCATCGGTACCTCTGGGTCTGGAGAGGCTTCCCTCGTCGCCTCCAGATGTCGCTTTGTCGTTGACACCTTCCTCTTCTCCTGATAACTATCATCAATTTCAGGAGCTGCTAAGAAGAACAGCTAATGCTGTTCGGATCCTGTTGGAAGGGGTGGAGTGCAGGACAGTCAGCACCAACTGTCAGACATTTTGCTTGCATTGGTACCAGCTAGAGTGGCTCTACTGATTAACGATGCCATTCTCCAACTGACATGTACTGTATGACATACCCAGGCCACCTGTACCCCCACCCCAAAAGGGGTGGAAAAGAGATTGTCCCCTCCAAGGGGTCTGAGTTTCTGTTCTCCCACCCTATGCCTAATTCTTGGTGATTCAGGCTGCCATGGAACGGGCCAAACGGCATCCATGCTCCACTCCCTTTGACAACGAGGGCAAGAGTTTGGACCTTATGGATAGGAAGGTCTATTCCTCGGCCAGCCTCCTGTTCTGTATTTCGAACTGCCTTCTGCTGATGGCCAAATATGACTTTTTGAACTATGTCCAGATGGACATAGAACTAGATAAGAACTAGTTAAGTTCCTAGAGGATAGGTCCATCAATGGCTATTAGCTAGGATGGGCAGGGATGGTGTTCCTAGCCTCTGTTTGCCAGAAACTGGGAATGGGCTGCCTGTTCTGTTCATTCCCGCTGGGGCACCTGGCATTGGCCACTGTCGGAAGACAGATACTAGGTTAGATGGATCTTTGGTCTGACCCAGTATGGCTGCTCTTTTGTTCTTATGCTTTTTTACCTACAAAGGATGAGGCCATTCCAGAAGTCTCCTAGACTATTTGTTGCCATAGCAGACCGAATTCAGGGGCATGCCATCTCCACCCAGAGACTCTTGAAGTAGGTCTCAGGGTGCATTACGCTCTATCAGTTGTCGGGGCAGTCCCCACCAGGTGGGATTCGGGCCCATTCCGCATGAGCGCAAGCATCAACTACCGCCGCCTTCCACAATATGTCCCTTATGAACATATGTAAGGTGGTCATGCGGAGTTCAGTACACAGCTTTTCTTCTCTCTATGCCCTGGTGCAAGACTCTGTGACGGATGCCTCTTTTGGTGCAGCAGTCTCCGTTCTATGGTGCACCCTTCTGTTATCTTTTGACTGCTTGTTAATCACCCTCAGTGGAATACAATAGGGACCATCACTCGAAGAAGAAGAGGAGGTTACTTACCTGTAACTGGAGGCTTTTTGAGATGTGTAATCTCTATCTGTATTCCAATCCCACCCTCCTTCCCCTCTGCTGCAGATTTGTTAGATTTGTGGTAGAGAAGGAACTGAAGGTGCAGTCAGTCCATCCTGCCCTTTATCGCCTTGGGTGAAACCATGAGGCAGTACAAGGACGCATGCGTGGACCGATGGACTACTTTGAAAAGCTCCAAGCGCACAGCGCATGTGGATAACCCTCAGTGGAATACAGATATGGACCATCTCAAAGAACCTCCAGTTACAGGTAAGTAATCTCCCCTTCTGCACAAATTCTGCATTGCACAGTTGTGCAGAATTATCTCAGGAGTAAATTAAAGGTGAAAGGTCACTACTTTATTACTGTTCCAGTGCAGCAAAGAGGAAGACTTCAGTATTTGCCTCCAAATAAAGTCTTGCCACTTACAGTTTTCCAAGGTAGATACCAGATTTCTGTACAAAAATGTGCCCTCCTGGAATATATCTGTGATCCTACAGATCTAAACATTTATTCTTCAATAGTGCATGGCTGTTGTCATCAGATATTTTTTTAAAAAAAGAAAGAAAATACATGAGCTTTCCCATCTCTACAGTAACATCATTGGTTCACGTGCTGATCATCACCTCCCTTAAGTATTGCAACTTCCTCCTCTCTCTAATCTTCTTTATACTAACTTTGCCTCATTTCCTTAGTTTGTTCCAAAATGCCCATCTCAAAATTATCTTTCTTGCCTCTCAGTTGCTTCGACTGAATTTACAAAGATTTATTAAGTGATATTAAAAAAGTAACTTATGTTTACCTCCACCTTTGAGTCACTTCACTGTATACCCATTGAACGTTGCATCAAGTTCAAACTTTTCGTCTTTACTTTCTTACGGACCTGTATTATGCAGCCATTGTGCCCTTGTCTCCTTTCACAATGCCTTCAGTCTGCTCTGTTTTGCCACATGGTTGCCTGTCTCCATCCTCAACCCCTTCAGGGACACCAGCCTTGATGTCCCTTTTGTTTTCGCTAACAAATGTCTCAGCACGTTCCATTTTGCCTTTTATACTTGAAATGGTCTTGCAAAATCTGTTTGTCAAGTCTGCATCAGTACCTCATTCAGATCATTCCTAAAAGCATATTTCTGCAACGTCATCTAGAAATTTAAGTATATTTGCAGTTACAAAATATCAAACCCCGTAACGTACACACAACCAACAGTTGTACGACCAATAAAACTTTAAGTGAGCAATTTTATTTCTGTAACCTGTGTCCTCTCCCCCAGCACATTACTGTTGGATGTTAGATCTTCGTTTGTCTGTTAAGTCCACTTAGACTATAAACTCTTCAGGGCAGGGGCTTGTCATCCTTGTGTTTTCTGGGCCGTGTAGAACACCTGAAGGTGATCTAAAATAAGCAATAAAGGAAACACTTATTTAAGGTATATTAGGGAAATGTCCAGTATACATTGTAACTTCCTATTTTGCTTGAACTATAACACTATTTTTTCTGTAAATTGCAGATTGTTAGCCATGCCTTTAGTAAAGAGGAACATTGAACCTAGGCACCTCTGCCGAGGAGCTCTTCCTGAAGGAATAACTAGTGAACTGGAATGTGTAACGAACAGTACCCTTGCTGCTATTATACGGCAACTAAGCAGTCTGAGTAAGTCTCTATAGTTTTGTACTTTTGTTTATTAATGAAAAATTGAGTCGCACAAAGGCTTTAAGTTTGCTTGTTTTAAATGGACAAATTAAAATGTAAGACTTCCCCATTTGGAAAGTGTATAATAATAATACCTCTGCTCTTATATATTGCTTCACATCTTCAAAGGTCTGTGCAAACACCTCCCTGAGGCAGCTAGAGTTTAGATGTGAAAATTGTGGCACAGAGAGACTAAGTGAACTTGCCCCAGGCCACGTAAATCAATCTAAAAGCCAAGATTAGAACATGCATCACGAATTCCTGGCTTCTCGTCCCTTGCTCAGTCCAGTAGACCACTCTGCTTCTTGGCATTTGATGGCCATAGGAAGTTGGTTCAGTTGTCTTTTAAAGAACTTATTTTTTCTTAGGAATCTCTTCTTCCTTTATATGCATATGACACGTTAATACTAATGAGAAATAAGCACACATATCAGGAAGAGAATGGATCCCATTGTCCCCTTGTAAGCAGAATGACAAACAGTAACTGAGGAAAGTTAGAGTAACTTAAGAGAATTTTAGAAAGAAAGTCTAGATTTGTTTAGATTTATTTAAAGAAGAAAGAGCTTCAATTTTTGTGTATTTTAGAAATTCAGATAATTACAATATTTATTTTAGCTATAGATTAAATATGTTTGACTTTAGACTCTTTTCTGCCAGAAACAAATCGTTTCATGAAGTAATTTATGCAGGTAAAGCTCTTAATTAAAAAGTCAGTCATGTGACTTCACTAGGTTTCCAACTCTGTAGGATAATGGCACTAGATACTATTCTTTTGAGCTTACATTTATTAGGAAAGTTTGAGTCAACTGAACTTGTTTAGAGAGCAGTGAGCTCTGATTAATCCACCCTGTACTAAACTGTGTCCAAGAAAAGTATCATGTTTAAATATCTGACTACAGTTCTAAATGTTGTTTAATGGGAGTGAATCTCATGGGGAATGTCCTCAGGATTCTATTTCTATATATATTATGGCAGAGCTATTGTGATGCTGAAGTTAAGATTGTGTCCTGTTCTGTTTTGCACTGAAAGCAGGAGCTCTACACAGAGGGCCTCTGTGCATTTCCACTTAGAGGATTTGGCACCTGTGGTATCAAGCTATGGAACTGCATAAAAAACTTGTTGGGGGGGGTACAGGAGTGCTCTTGTGCTGGTGCTTGTCATTGGCTCCATCTGCACAAGAGAGTGCATGCCATTGCTGCTGAGAGCTAACAGAACTACCTCTCTTATCCATGAGCTTGTTTTTCCTCCAGTGTTCTGTTACAACTGTATTGTTCAGGGAAGTGTAGTTGGGAGCCATTCGACCTCAAGTTACCCTCAAAACTGTCAGGTCCCGAACCCAGCTGGGGTTCAAATATGTGCATCTTGCTCAGCTGTATTTCCCGAAACAGATGCCTCTCAGTTTATTAGTATTAGGATCATATCTGAATCCTTATGTGCAAGGGTTGGCTAGTATAGAAAATAAAAATGTTTATTCTCAAAAGAAAGCATAAAGATTAATTTATGCAAAATTTTGATCGTTATTTCTGAACACTTCAGGAAGTAGTACAATACTGCCTTTTGTCCCAGACACCAAGAATGTATTGTCCATCCAAAAGAGGGCCCTGAGCGCAGTGAAGGGTGTGTTTTGGTGGCTCCTGCAATGGAAGAGGGTAAAAAGGACAAGATGGCCCAGGTCTTGAGAGATTTCCAGCCTCCTCAGGACTTCTGGGCTGGGCTTAAGGTCTTGTGAGATTTAGCTCGTGATTTGGAGCCATAATGTCTCGCAGAATTTGTCAGGAGATTTGGAGCCATGATAAGAGCAGTGTGCTCAGTCACTTCCTTTTTGCTGCTTACCAGCAGTGAACCCACCCTCCCTTCCTGTGCTAGGTTGCTGTGGGCTGTGCTAGTTGCCACTGTGGAGCGGAGAAAGAATTTTTCCCCGTATCACCAGATTGGCGGAGGCTGCTTGGGTTTTTTTCGCCCTCCTCACAGCAAAACCTAGGGATTTGGTTTTGGACAACCTGAGGCTGGAATTCTCCCCCTCCCGGCGGTAACAGTTTGGATTTATGTCAGTATCGTGTAGTTGTTGCAACTTTTGTCTAGTGCCCATTGCAGGACCTCACTGATATAAGCTCTTTTTTGAAAAGAGATGCTCTAGGATTTACTTTGGGGAAGTTCTGTGGCCTGTGTTCTACAGGAGGTCAGACTAGATTATCACAATGGTCCCTTTGGGCCTTGGCGTCTATGAATCTATGACAGACCCTTGGAAAGGAAGGTACTGAACCAGGGAGAGTTTAGACACAGGCTGAGCCTGCTTCCCTTAAAAGACTCAAACTTTGGGTTCCCAAAAGGAATAAAAGACTGTAATTGTACTTGAGAATTAAGAAGCATGCAGACCTTAAAGATATTTGGAACTGAAATTATAATGGGTGTAAAACTCTGTTAACATAAATATGATACTCCTTTGTTTTAAGTATTGCTACGTTGTCCATTTCCCTTCTACTTCGCCCCACTTCCTTAGTTTCTGTGGTGGTGAGATCATCCTGGCCCAATAGTCAATAATAAATTAGTGTCACTGGGGTCCTGTAAAAAAACCACCAGTATGTGATTAGGTAACTATGTGATTATGTAACTAAAAACTGTTTCATAATATATATGCAGAAGGGGGCAGAATTAAAGTTTAACAGGCAACCATGCTGCATGGCCCTGATACTTTTTAATCTATACACCATGGATATGCCAGCGACAGAGTCGAGGAAATTCATGTATGCGGATGATATTGCCCTAGCTGTTCAGCACACAAGCCTCCATACCATCAAGTGCACACTAACCCAAGATTTTAGCACAGTGACTGATTATTTCCAATGCGGGAAACTTAGGCCTAACCTGAAAACTAAGGTGACCACTTTCCGTCTGAACAATAAAATGTCTATTACCAAACTTGATGTGCAGTTCTACGGTAAGAACGTCAGCCATTAGGTTAACCCAAAGTATCTCAGCATTACACTGGGCCAGAGTTTGACCTTTCAACAACACTTTGAGAACACTTGTGATAGGGTCAGGTCTTGTGTTATGTTTATCCGGAAACTGGCCAGAACATCATGGGGCTTCAGTCTATGGACCCTATGAACCTCAGCAATTGCCTTGGTGTATTCTGCATCTGAGTACTGAGTGTCAGCTCACAGAGGTCTCATTAAACTCCTTGATACACAACTCAATAACACTATGCACATAGTGTCAGAGACGCTCAGATTGATTCAAGTTGACTGACTCCTGGTCCTGTCGCATATCCAGCCTCCACAGATCAGAAGAGCTGCTGAGACATCTTGCTTTCTCAATCATGTCAATGCAAACATGAGGATCCATTGCATGATGACCTGCAGAACCCAGCAAAGACCAGATGAAAATCCTACAGTCCTCTTTGGAACTGCATGAAGAGCCTTTCGCTCAACTTCAATGCTGAGGCTCAAGGAAAGAGCCACATGGAACGTTTTGATTGCTCACAGCAAGCAGCTCGTCACTGACCCTGCCGAGGATCCACCAGGTTTTGACTGGTGCAGATTGAATCGCATCATGACATCTCTTTGGAAATGTGGACAAAAACCCTCTTTAAATGGAAAATGAGCCAAATACCTGTATCCAACTGTGGTCACCAGGCACAAACGATGGAGTACATCATATCTGAGGGTTCCCTTCATTCTTCGCTGGGGGCCTGAAGGACATTCACCAGCTCACTGCTGCGGCAATGTGCTAGCTATCAAATCTAGCTGTAAATTTGTAATCATTGCTAGCTACCCAAGCCATACTAAAGAAGAAGACAGGCAACCATAAGTCTGCCTGTTAAGTGCTTGATTATACAACCTGAATAATGTTCTTAATGTAGGTTTTTGTAAGTAACTTCCTTGTTTTTAAAAAAAGAAAAAGGTAAAAAAACCCATTATATTATGTTCAACTGTAACAACTTTCTCCCATCATGTATTATTGGTCAGGTGTGAGTCCTGAACCTTCAGCACCACAGCACAGACTCTTACCACCTGAGCATCAGGATTTAGGACAAAGCTTTTATCCCAGAAGTGGGCATGGGCTGTTGGGGCCACATGCTAGGCTCAGGGTTGGCCAGTGGAAGGCTAACTGAGCTTGTGTGTGCTGTCTCCCTCCATCTCTTCTCCATCCCTGGGAGCTCAAAGGAGCTTCTGCCCCCAGAGGGGTATTGGGGAAGGGCTAATGGTGCCGTTTGCTGGGTCTGGGGAGGAATGGGGCTAATAGGGTTAAACGTGGGGTGGGCCTGATCCAGCTGTGTCCCCTCTCACTCTGCTCTGGCAGCTCTCGGGCTTTCTCAGTGTAGTGTGCTGATGATGATTAGATTAGAACAATCATGGTCAGTTATTTTGACATGCTGCTAAAATGATAATTCCTGAGCAACCCACTCAAGAGAAGGGAAATAGCAATTTTTAACAATTAATATATTTTGGCCAAACCAGATTGGAATTTCATTGCACGAGTGAAATGCACATCTCTAGCCCCCAGGGCTTTGTCCCCTCCAGGGTTAATACTGAGGCCTGGTCTACATTAGAAAATTAGGTCAGTATAACTATGTTGCTCAGAGGTGTGAAAAATCCACACCCTGGAGCGATCTAGTTAAACTGACCTAACCCACTGTGTAGACAGTACCAGATTGATGGGAGAATTCTCCTGTCAACCTAGCTGCCGCCTCCTGGGGAGGTGGAGTCGTTATGCCGACAAGAGAAGCTCTTCCGTCTACATAGGTAGCGCTACACTGAAGCACTACAGTGGTGCAGCTGCTTTTTAAGCGTAGACAAGACCCCAGTAAGAGTCAGACCTCTTCCTTGAGCTTTGTGCATACAGAACGCTGGCTGCTAACTCTCCATCTTGGATACTTTTATATAGGCTTGGAAGAATTAGATTTTCATTGGTAAACGTTGATTTCAGGGCCAGGGCCAGACTTAGGGAAAATGGCACCCTGGGCAAACTTGCTTTTTGGTGCCTCTGGCCCCTATGGGCATGGTGCCCCCCCATTGCCCCTGGCCCCCTGGGCTTCCCAGTCTTCCCACCCTCCCTTCACCCCAAAGGCCTGCTCCCCCTCCTGCACCCCTTCACTCCTAACTCCTGCATCCCCCTCCTGCACCTATGTGGGGAAACAGAGCTGGATGCACGAAGCAGCTGGCATTGCTGCTCGCTCCCACCAGGACTGTTGCTCCTCTGCTCTGCACACTGTGGGGGAGGCGAGGAGCAACATTATGGCTCTCTGCATCTAGGTCACTTTCCCTGCCTGGGCTGCATAAGGAGAGGGCATGAGAGCAGCAGCTGCTGATGCCTCACAGCACAGCCCAGGTGGGGAAAGTGACCTGGATGCAGGGAGCCCTGGGTGTGTGTGTTGGGGGGGGAGGGAGGGGAAGGAACTGCATAAAGGAGACTGTGGAATTAAATTTTTGCATGAAATTGGGGCAGCCAGAAACCCTGACCCAGGCCTGCCACCGAGCCTCCCCCTCCCCTTCCAGCTCGCACCACCCAGTGGTATGAACCTCTGGGGGAGGAGGTGGGGCCGGAGCAGAGCTGCAGCAGCTGAGGGCTCCTCTCTGTCCGGTGCTGGTGGAGAGAAGTGGGGCAGGGGCTGGGCCGGGTGGACAGGAACCAGCACCGCAGCCCCTTGGCCACAGCATGCAGGTATAGAACTGGGCTGGGCCAGCGCACAGCGCCATCTTTAGCAGGCAGCCCTGGGCAGCCGCCCCGGGCAACCGCCCTGGCCACCCACCCCAAAGGCCGGCTCTGTTGAGGGCATACGCAGACACTGATGGAAAAATATAAATGCTGCTTGAGAACTTATTAGGGTTTGATTTAAGGATATTTTCTTTGTATATGATGTTGACCGTTTGCTTTGTAACAGTTATAAAACGTCAACATTTTGAATCTTATCTACTCTCATTAAATAATTGTCTGACCCTCCCAGAATTTCCCACCACTGCGAAAATTTAAATAGATAAAAATTAAAAAATGCTTAAAAATAAACATTATCAGTCAAAATTATAAAAAAATCAAATTCTGCCAACCCTACTTTTATAGTAGTAGTATTAATATATTGCAACTCTCTTTTCACTTTCTCTGATTGCTGCCCTGTGAACTCTAATATCCTATCCTGTGCCGCCATGCTTGCTTTTACATTACTTCTCAACTGAGGTTAAGATTGTGCTAATTTTAGCTGCTTAAACATTGTAGTGTCATTTTTTCATCCTTGTGACGGACACCACAATGATAGTAAATGCCATCTTAATTTAGTATTCATTACAAATTCAAAATAAAACCAATGTTTAGGCAAAAGAAAAGATATATTTGCCAGTAGTCCTAATTTGCAGATCTGTTAGCAGTCATGACATGTATAGGAATTCCATGGTTTCAGGGTGTTTCCCAGATTCCCACATTGGAGTCACCAGTCAAGTGTTATCTAATATGGCTTGACAGGGGAATCAGTCAACTAATAATGTTTAGATACTTCTGGCTGAGAAGCAGAGGTGCTCACAAGGGACATGAGCAGGCAGAGAAATACAGGTTGGTAGTAACACTAGTGGAACTTGATGGGGAAAAATAAAATCCTGTCAGACCGAAAGGTGGGAGAGGGCTTGCCAAGTTGAAGAAAGGGGATTATTTAAGCACAACTGCAACAATGTGGGCAAACGTGTGGAGAAAGTGGAGCAAATAAATAAGATCAGCAGAAAATAAAATTGGAAAAGTGTAACAGAAATAATTTTAAGCAAAAAGTACAATTGCATGAGAACACAGGCAGCTGATGTGGCAACTGCTTACATGTTTTTGTACAAAATAAAGTGATAAGTGGGAAAAAAATCACTCTTCTTTTAAGCTTTATGACAGGGCGGGCCAGATGGCTACAGGAGATAGTCTCTGTAATTAACACTGATAGGTTTTTGCTCCTCGGGCTCATCTGCATCACTGATTTGTTTCTTTTCTGTAACCAGCACTAATAAGTTTCATTTCTTACAGAAGGTAACTTCAGAGACATCTTATTCAATATGTTAATTCAGATTTTTTGGGGGAATTAATTGCAATTGATTTTTGCAGAGATTGCTACCAGAGATCAACTACAGATTCATGAAAACTTTATAGACCAATGTCCCACAAGTTATTTACTGCGGAAGTTGGAGAGAAATATAATGATACATGTTATTTGATGAAAAGTACTAGTGATCTTCTCAAAAGACTTAAGTATATTTTGCAAACCACTTTGTCAAGAAAAGTCTAATATGGAGTAGAATGAGGATGATACTTGTAAGTGCAGGGAGGAACTGCTTTTTGGTGTCTGATATCACAGTAACTATAAGGAAACAGTAGAGCTTGAAAGTTTTTTGGGGGGGGTGAAGTGGAGAGGACTCTCAGTTTATTTATCTATTTGGGGTGGCTGGGGAGGAGCTTTTAAAATTAAGGATTAACAGATCACCTCTGTTGTAAAAACACTGATCCAGAAATAGTAATGGGTGATTGCAGTTTGACTTTTGGAATGTCTTATGCATAGATTTCCTGCTGTTATTAGAAAGTGAAGTAACTATTTTTTTCTTTTTTGCAAATAATATTTAGCTTTTCCAGAAGCTGTGTAATACTGTTTTTAAATGGTTGGCTTTTAATAGCACAATCAGTTTTTAGTATGGAAGCTATGAGCCTCCTAACTTTAGACAGCTTTCAAGTTCTCAGCTTTCCAATGTATCAACTAATTGTTTTGTTAAAAAATCTAATTTAAAAAGTAATATTCTGAGCAACTAGAAAAGCTGTGTCTAAGAAATTGTTTGGACCATGTTCATTTGAGTTATCTGTTACAATGTTATTTTACCAGATTGTTGTTGTTATCAGCAGGAAGTTAGTGTTCCAGTCACCATTCATTTTTAGAGCAGCAAGTACAGTTGAAAAAAAATTTCAGTGTTAAAAAGAGAAAGTTATTAACAAGCAGATCTTTAATCATCTCTTCTACCTCCTTTAAGGTAACTGACAAGATTGTTTTTCTTCTTTTAAAGCACTTTTTGTAAACTTTAGCTTTTGATTTAGCCACAACATCAGAGGGAGTCTGTGAAAGCCAGTAAAGAGCCTGGGGAAGGCTAGTGAAGCAGTTTCTCCCATACTATCTGTTTTGCAAAATGCAAACTTTTAACATATATTTTTCCTAGCTCTTCTGATTGTAAAGATAATCTTCTGAAAGTGAACAGATGCAGTGTTGTCTTATTGAATCTACAAGTACTCTGAAACAATAACTCTGAGCTGCAAACAGACCATTCATTTTAATGGAAAGTAAATTCTGAAGGCTGAAGATGAACATTTAAATAGAGGCATTGCTAAAAGTTTGTTTCCCTTTTTTTTCTGGTTCTGGTTTTCTGACTCTTTGTCAGCTGTCCCCAAGACTTTTATTGGGGGGGTGGAGAGCAGAAAGATGGCACAATGCCACGTCTATCTCCCCACTAGGTGCGCTAAGGAGAGCTTGGGTGCACCTCAGGATCTAGCTCAGGGGTGGCCAACCTGAGCCTGAAAAGGAGCCAGAGTTTACCAATGTACATTGCCAAAGAGCCACAATAATACATCAGCAGCCCTCCATCAGCTCCCCTGCTTCCAGCGCCTCCCACCCACTGGCAGCCCCACCGATCAGCACCTCCCTCTTCCTTCTCGCACCTCCCGATCAGCTGTTTCATGGTGTGCAGGAGGCTCTGGTGGGAAGCAGGGAGGAGCAAGGGCACGGCAGGCTCAGGGGAGGGGGAGGGAGGGGGTGGAGTGGGGGCAGGGCCTGTGGCAGAGCCAGAGATTGAGCAGTGAGCACCCCCCGGCACATTGGAAAGTTGGCACCTGTAGCTCCAGCCCTGGAGTCAGTGCCTATACAAGGAGCCGTATATTAACTTCTGAAGAGCCTCATGTGGCTCTGGAGCCACAGGTTGGCCACCCCTCATCTAGCTCATTATGTTATCTACAGATTTTGACACCACACTTAGTGAAGGTTCTACTATTCAGAAGCTCCCCCACTCGGAAAAGAAAGAAAATAAAATCAAAATATTGTAAATTTTCCTTCATCCCTATTCTGTGAGCATCACTTGTCACTGTTAAATTAATAGACTATATTTTCCAAATAAAGGATCCAGGAAAGGGGCGTCTCCTCCAGGGTTCTAGAATGTGGACATTTTTCACTCTCCAGCAATAGATTCCAAAAGGATTTCATTGAACAACCCAGCAGTCAATACACAGCACTGAAGGGCATGTTTGGAATGTCCTTAATTAACAACGTGTACAGTTAAGCCTGGTTATAGGGCACAACTTAGAACTTTAACAGAATTCTGCCACTTCTTGCTGCTCACTCTTGTTCAGGTGATTAATAAATATACTAAATTATACCTGACTTACTGTGGCTCACTACTATTCCCAGGATTGACTGAAACTTTTTAAAAGATAGCAATAACATTGGCTACCATGGAGTTTTCAACACAGAAGTGGATTTTAATGATTACATGTTTTTGTTAGCAGCTCAGCTACTTAAGGAGATGGTTTAAGTTTATTTTGATCTGTCTGACCATTTGCATTGCATTTAACTGTTCTGAATGTAATACTGCATTGCTAAAGTGCGTAGTACGTTAGTATACTGTAATTCTTTTACGAGTGTTTAACTGTAATATCATGCTGTTGAAGCAGTGTTTCCTGTGTTTTTGTAAGTCTTTAACAGATGGCATTCTCCATTTTTCTCTACAGGCAAGCATGCTGAAGACATATTTGGTGAGTTGTTTAATGAGGCCAACAACTTCTACATCAGAGCAAATTCTCTTCAAGACAGAATTGATCGCCTTGCTGTCAAAGTTACCCAGCTGGATTCAACAGTAGAAGAGGGTAGGTAATTGCATAAAAGCACTGAACCAGAAGTGATGTTGACAAGGTCACAGTAATTAATTACACAACAATCCCTGCTTTTCCTTTGGAATAATGCTGAGCTGATAGTTCATCATTGCAACAAAACTTGCAAATGATGTAGTTATGTAAATTAGGACCAGAGTGGATTGAGAGGAATTCAGAGTGATCTAAACAAGCTAGGTGAATGGGCAACATGATGGCAAATGAAATTAAATGTAAATAAATGCAAAGCAGTACACATTGGAGGAAAAAAATCTAAACTCACACACTTACATTTTTCTGAATTAATTATATCAACTCAAGAATTGGACCTGGGTAAGTCTGAATTTTGAGCGGGGTATGTGATTCCCAGCTTGAGGAGACATACTTGTATTAGCTTTCATGGAGCAAGTGTGCTAATAATAGAATATAGCCATAGCCGCATGAGCCGCCTTGAGTACGTATCCAGTTTCTCTGATGGGCATGCACTCTGGGTGGCTAGCCCCTCCTGCTGTTCATACTGCTGCAGATCCTTCATATAAATCAGTCGTGCAGCCTTATCTAGGATCTTGTGTTCATCACTGGTCAGCCCATCTAAAAGTAGATATTGCAGAACTTAGGGTGGTTCAGAGGAATGGTCAAGGGCATCAGGAATGGTCAAGGGCATGGAAAAACGCTCATATGGAGAAAGCGTGAAAAGACTGGGGTAATTCTCCTTAGAGACAAATAAGGGGAGACATGATTGGAGTATATTTAATGAACGATATGGAGAATATTGATTGAGAACAGCTGTCTCATTCACAAGGACAAGCCAATCTCTAACTATTAGAGATCAGGGTGAGATTAGATGAGAGGTGTTTACACCTTCTGAGGCATCTGGTGACACTGTTGGAGATAGGATGTGTACTAAATTGATCTTTGGTCCGATTCACTATGGTAATTCCTATGTTCTCACGTGATGCATTGACAATATTTACTATACAAATTAAATATATAAATATTACTTCAGTTTTGCTACTACATATGAGTACTGAAAAGTTTGTTGAAATATTTTCAAATAAAAAACTCTTTAATGTTGTAAAAATGAGATCTCAATTTCGGTCTGTAGTAATATTAGAAAATATGCACAATTAAATATCTTCTTTTCCTCTCTAATAGTATCGTTACAGGATATCAACATGAAAAAAGCATTTAAAAGTTCGACAATACAGGACCAGCAAGTTGTTTCAAAGAACAGCATTCCTAATCCAGTGGCTGACATCTACAATCAGAGTGACAAACCACCTCCATTGAATATTCTTACACCATATAGGTATGGATAAAGTCAGTGCCTAAATTCTTGTACTGTGCTATTCATCTCGTTTAATTCTAGATACATTCTTAGCAGTATGGAGGAGAATGGGTAGGTAACTATACAGTACAGATGCATTTCTGAACACAGGGTTTGAGGTGTATCCCCAGGTTTTATGAGGTAATAGTTTGAGTCACCCCTTTGCACATTGCAAGATGATATAATGTTAACAAACTGAATAAACATAAATAATGCAAGGCTCCGTCAGACTGAATGGTAACAATTTATTTCTAGGGGGTTAATATTTTTCGTATTTGAAAAGTAAACCCTATTATTAGTTTCATAGATTGGCTTTCTGTGAATCTGGAAAATGGCTCATTGGATATAATGTAACATAATTTGGTTTTGCAGTGCTTTGTATATGGAAGGAGCTGTAGAAATTATTATATTAAAGATACTCAGTCTGAGCACAGGACTGTGAGCCAGACACACCCAATTATTAAACCTCATTCTTACACTGATTTCCTCTATAGCTTTAGATAAGTCACTTAATCTCAATTTTAATTTATCCATGTGCAAAGGAGTGTTGTAAGTTATTGCCATGCCAGATGACTTTCAACTAATGAATGTGGTTCCATAAATACCTAGATAGAGATCAGCAGCCCCTCCTGGGTGCAGTGGAAAAGGGACACTGTCTGCATACCTGTCGAGTGCAGATAGTTCCTTCTCTCAAAAAATTAACATCTGAAAGTGAACCTAAGAAGTGGAGATGGGTACTTTTTTAGTGGACATATTATATGATGAGTTTTATGGATTGTACTGAATGGACAACTGGATTTTCATACTGTAAAATAAATGTAAACTGTCATACGGTTGTGATGAATAATTGTACTCCATTTCTGCACTGTGGTTGAAATCATCCCATTTCAGAATAATGTAAATCTGAACCTGATTGGTAACAGGAAATTGAGGTTGTCATTGAGTATATAAATACTGTAAAGAAAAGGAAGAATATAGTAATTACCATTTTATTCTGTTTATCTTGAGTTTTGGGTGCTGCTGCTGTTTGTTTTCATTTCCTGACTTTTTCCTGGCAAATAGACAGGTACAGTAAGCAGGATTTCATTCTCTGTTTCCATTAGATTTATAATAGTCTGTTTAAAGACTCTCATTTTTCAGTCTTTTTCTAAGTATTCTGGGTAATACGTTATCATTTCTTTCCCTAAAATGTCTTGGGTATTAGATTGCTTAAATATGAGTGATTGTTAAATATAACTAATGCTTATAACAGGATGCCGTGATTTCTGATTGTACAATATTTTTGCAAAAAGTACGCCCTTCTGCTTCGGTAACTTATCTGAAAAAGCTCTATATAAATAATATATATATCAGTGATTGCAGCGTATTTTTAGTATCATTACTTTGAAGGTATAATTGTAGATCATTTTAATTGCTGAATATTTAAAAATTAAATTAAAATTTTATTAAACCAGTGCTCATAAATAGCTGAATAATGAAGTATTTTGCATATCTGTTTGTGCTGCATAATTATACCTGGGTGACAGTGTATAGCGGTGTAACTGAGAGATTTTGCTTTAGTGTACTCATAGACCTTAAAGCCAGAAACGCAGGCCACAGAACTTCATCCATCCACTCCTGTAATAAATCCATAACAACTGTCTGAGTTACTCAAGTCCTCAAATCATGATTCAAAGACTTCTTCTAATTCTGTTAGATATATTTTAGTGTAGTTCATTTACATAGATGACATTGCTCTGGAGATCTTTCATAGATGTTGAACTAAAATTATGTGCAATGTACTTTATTTGGCTTACTACAGTTAAACAATAGAAAGGGACCAAGCTTAAACCAACAAAGCTCAAAGCTGAGCCTCTTGTGTTTTAAATGACATATTATTGACATTTGCTAAGCTTTTCTTCCATTGTGTTTACAGAGATGATAAGAAAGATGGTTTGAAGTTCTATACTGATCCCTCCTATTTTTTTGATCTTTGGAAAGAAAAAATGTTACAAGATACAGAAGATAAACGAAAAGAGAAGAGGAGACAAAAGGTAAATAGCCATATAATAAATATGTGTAGAATATATATACAGAATTTATGCATGTGCATTTATCCAGGCTAAGTTGTGCTTAGCTTATGTACATGTCTAAAGTCTCTTGCTACTTAGATATGACTGAAATAGTAGGTTTCGTATTAGAATTTTGATTACAGTTTATTTCTTTTTACTTTAAGAGGTTTGGAAATGGAATGAAACAGAACTGTAGTTTCTTTTAAATCCTTACTATTATCTGCTTTTTAGTATACAGGAAATCAGCCATCTTTGCCTCATTGGGAAGAGTATATGCCTTGGTAGGAATAAAGTTTGAGTTGTAATGTTTTTTATAACGTTTCTTTACCTTTATATTCATTATTAGGTGTTCTTTATATTCATTATTATTATAATAATTATTATTATTCTTCCAGCTACCCCACACCCACAGGAAAACACAAATTTCAGATAATTACCCTGTTATTTCTTTATATTCTTTAATTGTGACTCTTCTTTTCTACTTCTATTGGAAGACTTGGTGAGTAAGGTAGCACAGATATTTCATGGATCAGCAACTAGAGTGGATGTGTATTAGGAATGATACTCCTTGCTGCTCCTCAAAGCCAAAAAAAAAAATTAAAGTTCTTCATAGAGAAGAATCTTCCAAATTTTTACTAGTGTGTTCAGGTATTTGACTAGCAGGGGTTAGAGGCATGTGCATCATCTATAGTGAGGATGTACACATATATATATATATTTAAAGTGTTTGTTTTTAGCTTGCATGGGATGAAGAGTTTAGTAGATGCTTATTCATGTTGCCACTTCGCTGCTGATTGGTTTGAGGAAGCTCTGGAAGGGCCATAAGGTTCTTCATGCAGTCCCAAGAAAGGAGAGTGAGAAGAAAAGGTAGATGAATCAGCAGTTGCCTATCTTATCCAACATAATGTCCTCCTGGATACCAGGGAAGGGGCCTAATTGGTCTAAAGGATTCCGGAAGAAAAGAGCTCCAAGTAAGAACTATCAGACTGCTGATTTGGAGAGTTGCATGTTAAAACTTAGAATGCACATATGTCATCTGCCTCTAAATCAAAGTGAAGAGTCACCATAGTGAAACTTCACTCCTCCAAATTCATAAAGTGAAATTCACTCCTTCTGACCCCAGTGGATTCTCAGCATCATAAATCACATAGAACATTCACCAGGTCTGTTAACACGAACGTAAAATGGAACTACTGTTTCCGTTGCTGCTCATAGAGCCTACAAGGAACCCTGCTAACAGAAGGGAGGTGGGATGCACGCCGGCCAAGAATAAAAATAGACTGAACTGGAAGGGTTGGTCAGCAGGCTCACTCACCTGAAGACTGTTAGCCACAAGGAATTGTCCCAGTAGTCAGTAGGGAATTCTACCGTGCATTGGGAGAGAACACAGGTCTTCATTGCAACTGTGTAGAGCCAGACAGCTCTGGGTGGAAGTTACTGTGCATTAAAAGTAGGGCTGTCAGTTAATCGCAGTTAACTCACGTGATTGATTCAAAACAATTAATTGTGATTACAAAAATTAATTGTGATTAATCACAATTTTAATCGCATTGTTAAACAGTAGAATACCAATTAAAATTTATTAAATATTTTTGGATGTTTTCTACATTTTCAAATATATTGATTTTAATTACTACACAATACAAAGTGTACAATGCCAACTTTATATTATTATTCTTACAAATATTTGCACTGTAAAAATGATAAAAGAAATAGTATTTTTAATTCACCTCATACAAGTATTGTAGTGCAATCTCTTTATTATGAAAGTGCAATCTCTTTATTATGAAATGTAGATTTTTTTGTTACATAACAGCGCTCAAAAACAAAACAATGTAAAACTTTCGAGCCAACAATTCCACTCAGTCTTACTTCTTGTTAAGTCAATCTCTAAGAGAAACAACTTTGTTTACATTTATGGGAGGTATGCTTTCCACGTCTTATTTACGATGTCACTTGAAAGTTAGAACAGGCATTCACGTGGCACTTTTGTAGCCAGTATTGCAAGGTATTTACATGCCAGATATGCTAAACATTCGTATGCCCCTTCATGCTTCGGCCACCATTCCAGAGGTCAGGCTTATATGATGATGACACTCGTTAAAAAAAATAATGCATTAAATAATTTGTGACTGAACTCCTTGGGGGAGAATTGTATGGCTCCTCTGTTTTATCTGCATTCTGCCATATATTTCATGTTATAGCAGTCTTGGATGATGATCCTGCACATGTTCTTAATATCAACACTTCCACTGCAGATTCAACAAAACACAAAGAAGGTACTAATGTGAGATTTCGAAAGATAGCTACAGCACTCGACCCAAGGTTTAAGACTCTGAAGTGCCTTCCAAAATCTGAGAGGGTCAAGGTGTGGAATAGCTTTTAGAAGTCTTAAAAGAGCAACACTCCTTTGTGGAAACTACAGAACCCGAACCACCAAAAAAAAAATCAGCCTTCTGCTGGTGGCATCTGACTCAGATGATGAAAATAAACATGCGTTGGGCCACGCTGCTCTGGATCATTATCGAGCAGAACTCGTCATCAGCATGGCTGCATGTCCTCTGGAATGGTGGTTGAAGCACCAAGGGACATATGAATCTTTAGTGCATCTGGCATGTAAATATCTTTCGATGCCGGCTACAACAGTTCCATGTGAATGCCTGTTGTCACTTTCAGGTGACATTGTAAACAAGAAGTGTTCAGCATTATCTCCTGCAAATGTAAACAAACTTGTTTGTCTTCGTGGTTGGCTGAACAAGAAGTAGGACTGAGTGGACTTGTAGGCTCTAAAGTTTTCCATAGTTTTGTTTTTGAATGAAGTTATTTTTTTGTACATAATTCTACATTTGTAAGTTCAACTTTCACAAAGAGATTGCACTCTAGTACTTGTATGAGGTGAATTGAAAAATGCTATTTCTTTTGTTTTTTACAGTGTAAATATTTGTAATAAAAAATAAATATGAAGTGAGCTCTGTACACTTTGTATTCTGTCTTGTAATTGAAATCAGCATATTTGAAAATGTAGAAAACATCCAAAAATATTTAAATAAATGTTATTCTATTATTATTTAACCGTGCAATTAATTGCAATTAATTTTTTAATCACTTGACAGCCCTGATTAAAAGTGCCATGATGCATAAAAAGGCTACAAGAATTTGTGGAAGGCCCAATTCATCTGAGGTAGAAAAGCACCCCCAAATCCTGCTTTGCCTCCAGCATTTATAATAGTGTTAAATACAAAAAAAGTGTTTTTAATTTATAAGTCGCACTCATAGGTTTGCTGTGTGAAAGGGGTCACCAATACAAAAGTTTGAGAAACACTGTCCTAGACCCTTAGAATGTTGTTGGAAAGAAGATGACAAGATTTTGTTCTGTTAGTTGAAGAATTGCATTTTGTGTCTTGAATTCCACTAAAGGAATATTTCTTAAATTTGTTACTTATATCCCTTTTAATATATGATTTCCTTTCAGGTCTCAGTGGTTTACACGCCATATGTATTTAAGACAAATTATCCATCCCTATTGAATACCCATGCACTTTAAGAATGATGCTGTCGTCTTTAACTTGTTGATCAAAAATAGACCCTATGTGGACTAAAAAAAAAAATGTAATTCAGATTGAATGTTTTTTGTTTATCTTAAAATACTGGACGTTGAATAAAAACAAAGTTCAGGAATATTGAGATCTCTGTTACAAATCTTATTAACGTAGCACTTGCAGTTTTTACAGACAGCGTGAGCATACTTAACTACTTCACAGAATGGCAACTTTTTAGATGTATTTGAGTATATTTAGTCAAGCGGCAATGACAACCATTTGTAATGGAGTTGATTTTGATTCGTTTATATTTTTATAGCTGAAATTCCACATAGAATTCAGTACTTGAGAATTCCACAAATTACTTGTATCTTATCAGAGTAAAAGCTCTACAAGTCTTCTAAATGAGAACTTTGTGTAGTCTGCTAAAAACCAGACATTCCAGTAGAATGCTAATTTAGGATCTAATCCTGTGAGGTTCTTTGTCTCAACTTCCGTTACAATCAATGATAGATAAAAGGTGATCATCACTCACAGATTCAGGTTTTCAGAGCATCTGTGGGGCAGTTGCCTTAAAAGGTTGAGGTATTGGCCGTAGGAAGTTCTTGAGACCTATTATCCATTGTTAACCCTATTTTTACAGGATTAGGAAACTCATGGAGGCATACATGAAAATTTAATATGATGGTTCTTTCAAATGACCGTGTTCGCTCTGAACAAAAGTGTAATTTTTTAAAACCCTGTGTGCATTTAAAAGCTACTATAAGGTCTTCTGTTCTGCATTGTTATGCTTTGCACACAAAGTAGGGTAATGAGTTTAGTGTACTTGAATTTGTCAAAGTTTTTGCTTTACTGTTTTTAAACCTACAATCAAAAATGTGAATCGAGAATTTTGATGAGTGGTCATTAACAGGTTTTTGAGGAAAAAATTATGCAATCTTTTTCCCCCCACTTTCTAGTTTTTCCTCTGTATTCCCCCTGAAGAATACCTTACCTCATTTTAACTAATAATTTTAAGACTATAAGGTGTTTAAGTGATTTTCTACAATTGTATTTAAGAAGTCAAGTCAGTGATCTCTGATATGATATTATGCTGTCAATTGGTAAACTCAAGTTAATAAATTAACTATTGGTGAACTTTTTTAATTTCTTCAAAGTACTGTAGATACATGCTGGAACTATTTCCTTATATCACCCTTATCACTTCATTGCAGATGCTTTTTGTGCATAATTTTTGCTAACCTTTTTAATGCAAGTGTTATGCTGAAGCTAATTATTTACGGTCTCTAACAATACTTTGCCATGTTTGTTGAAGTACTTATTTTCAGAAAGTCAGACTATACACTCCTTCCCTATCTTTAATTTATAGCACCTACTTGTTTACATGGTTTCTACTACATTTTTAGAGCCCTGCAAATCCACGGAAATCTGCTTTATATTCACGGACCATTTTTGCAGATCAGATTCGTATACAAATGTTGTATCCACTCGGCTCTATACATTTTATTTAAAGGGAGAGACACACACCACTCTAATCACAGTTCTCTTTGAAAGTGGTAATATCCTCTAGAGTTCTGCATTCATCACCCCACGTACCCATCACCAGAGCTGCAGTGGAATTATTTGCCCGACATTTGCACCCTAATAAAAAGAAATGTCACTACTGATACTGGATAAAAATAAAACTACCCTATATGCAGATGTAATTCTCATAGATATTAAGATCAGAAGGGACCATTATGATCATCTAGTCTGACCTCCTGCACAATGCAGGCCACAGAATCTCACCCACCCACTCCTGGAATAAACCTCTCACCTATGTCTGAGCTATTGAAGTCCTCAAATCATGGTTTAAAGACTTCAAGGTGCAGAGAATCCTCCAGCAAGTGACCCGTGCCCCATGCTACAGAGGAAGGCAAAAAACCCTCAGGGCCTCTTCCAATCAGCCCTGGAGGAAAATTCCTTCCCGACCCCAAATATGGCAGTCAGCTGAACCCTGAGCATGTGGGCAAGATTCACCAGCTGGATACCCAGGAAAGAATTCTTTGTAGTAACTCAGATCCCACCCATCTAACATCCCATCACAGGCCATTGGGCCTATTTACCATGAATAGTTAAAGATCAATTAATTGCCAAAATCATGTTATCCCATCATACCATCTCCTCCATAAACTTATCGAGTTTAATCTTGAAGCCTGTCAAGGTTCCTCCCCCACTCTGAACTCTAGGGTACAGATGTGGGGACCTGCATGAAAAACCTCCTAAGCTTATCTTTACCAGCTTAGGTCAAAACTTCCCCAAGGTACAAAATATTCCACCCGTCGTCCTTGGATTGGCCGCTACCACCACCAAACTAATACTGGTTACTGGGGAAGAGCTGTTTGGACGCGTCTTTCCCCCCAAAATACTTCCCAAAACCTTGCACCCCACTTCCTGGACAAGGTTTGATAAAAAGCCTCACCAATTTGCCTAGGTGACTACAGACCCAGACCCTTGGATCTTAAGAACAATGAACAATCCTCCCAACACTTGCACCCCCCTTTCCTGGGAAATGTTGGATAAAAAGCCTCACCAATTTGCATAGGTGACCACAGACCCAAACCCTTGGATCTGAGAACAATGAAAAAGCATTCAGTTTTCTTACAAGAAGACTTTTAATAAAAATAGAAGTAAATAGAAATAAAGAAATCCCCCCTGTAAAATCAGGATGGTAGATATCTTACAGGGTAATTAGATTCAAAAACATAGAGAACCCCTCTAGGCAAAACCTTAAGTTACAAAAAAGATACACAGACAGAAATAGTTATTCTATTCAGCACAATTCTTTTCTCAGCCATTTAAAGAAATCATAATCTAACACATACCTAGCTAGATTACTTACTAAAAGTTCTAAGACTCCATTCCTGGTCTATCCCCGGCAGAAACCAGTATAAGACACAGACCCTTTGTTTCTCTCCCTCCTCCCAGCTTTTGAAAGTATCTTGTCTCCTCATTGGTCATTTTGGTCAGGTGCCAGCGAGGTTACCTTTAGCTTCTTAACCCTTTACAGGTGAGAGGAGCTTTCCCCTGGCCAGGAGGGATTTCAAAGGGGTTTACCTTTCCCTTTATATTTATGACAAAGCCAGATAGGTCTTTTGCCCCCACTGCTTCTCTTGGAAGGCTGTTCCAGAACTTCACTCCTCTGATGGTTAGAAACCTTCATCTAATTTCAAGTCTAAACTTCTCAATGACCAGTTTATATCCATTTGTTCTTGTGTCCACATTGGTACTGAGCTTAAATAATTCCTCTCCCTCTCCAGTATTTATCCCTCCGATATATTTATAGAGAGCAATCATATCTCCCCTCAGCCTTCTTTTGGTTAGGCTAAACAAGCCAAGCTCCTTGAGTCTCCTTTCATGAGACAGGTTTTCCATTCCTCGGATCGTCCTAGTAGCCCTTCTCTGTACCTGTTCCAGTTTGAATTCATCCTTCTTAAACATGGGAGACCAGAACTGCACACAGTATTCCAGATTAGGTTTTACCAGTGCCTTGTATAACGGTACTAACACCTCCTTATCTCTACTAGAAATACCTCGCCTGTTGCCTCCCAAGACCGCATTTGCTTTTTTCACGGCCATATCACATTTGCGGCTCATAGTCCTCCTGTGGTCAACCAGTACTCCAAGGGCCTTCTCTTCCTCCGTTACTTCTAATTGATGCATCCCCATTTTATAATGATAATTCTTGTTATTAATCCCTAACTGCATGACCTTACACTTCTCACTATTAAATTTCATCCTCTTACTGTTACTCCAGTTTACAAGGTCGTGCAGATCCTCCTGTACGATATCCTGGTCCTTCTCTAAATTAGCAATACCTCCCAGCTTTGTATCATCTGCAAACTTTATTAGCACACTCCCACTTTTTGTGCCGAGGTCAGTAATAAAAAGATTAAATAAGATTGTTCCCAAAACCGATCCCTGAGGAACTCCACTGGTGACCTCCTTCCAGCCTGACAGTTCACCTTTCAGTATGACCCGCTGTATTCTCCCCTTTAACCAATTCCTTATCCACGTTTCAGTTTTCATATTGATCCCCATCTTTTCCAATTTAAATAATAATTCTCCATGTGGCACCATATCAAATGCCTTACTGAAATCTAGGTAAATTAGATCCACTGCGTTTCCTGTGTTTAAAAAATCTGTTACCTTCTCAAAGAAGGAGATCAGGTTGGTTTGGCACGATCTACCTTTTGTAAAACCATGTTGTATTTTGTCCCATTTACCATTGACCTCAATGTCCTTAACTACTTTCTCCTTCAAAATTTTTTCCAAGACTGTGCACACTACAGAAGTTAAACTAACAGGTCTGAAGTTACCCGGATCGCTTTTTTCCCCTTTCTTAAAAATAGGAACTATGTTAGCAATTCTCCAGTCATACGGTACAACCCTTGAGTTTACAGATTCATTAAAAATTCTTGCTAATGGGCTTGCAATTTTATGTGCCAATTCCTTTAATATTCTTGGATGAAGATTATCTGCCCCCCCCCCCCCGATTTAGTCCCATTAAGCTGTTCGAGTTTCGCTTCTACCTCAGGGTAATATCTACCTCCATATCTACCTCATTCCCATTTATCATGCTACCATTATCCCTAAGATCCTCATTAGCCTCATTAAAGACTGAGGCAAAGTATTTGTTTAGATATTGGGCCATGCCTAGATTATCCTTAAGATGCACTCCATCCTCAGTGTTTAGCGGTCCCACTTCTTCTTTATTTGTTTTCTTCTTATTTATATGGCTATAGAACCTTTTACTATTGGCTTTAAATCCCTTTGCAAGGTCCAACTCTACTTGACTTTTAGCCTTTCTCACTTTATCCCTACATGTTCTGACCTCAGTAAGGTAGCTTTCCTTGCTGATCCCTCCCATCTTCCACTCCCTGTATGCTTTCTGCTTTTTCTTAATCACCTCTCTGAGATGCTTGCTCATCCAGCTTGGTCTACAACTCCTGTCTATGAATTTTTTCCCCTTTCTTGGAATGTAGGCTTCCGTTAGCTTCTGCAGTTTTGACTTGAAGTAATCGCAGGTCTCCTTTGCCTTTAGATCCATAAATTCTTCAGTCCAATCCACTCCCCTAACTAATTTCCTTAATTTTTGAAAGTCAGCCTTTTTGAAATAAAAAAAATCCTGTTTTGTAACAAATCTTCCCAATCCTTTTGAATGAAATTTAAATGTTTTGGAGAAATCCCTAGTTTTAAAGTGAACCAGGAAATCAAGAAAGTTAGAGGTAAATGTTATCCAAGTCTAGATTCCAGTGCTCATTCAATAAAGGTACAAATCATAAATAATCTGTAACAACTACACAACCTAAACTTGACCCTTTAATAAATCTGTTTTTTTAATTTCTAAGTTTTTTTTAAATGTATTCATCATCTTGGCTGGGCAGGATAGCTACCACTGGGGTTGTGGATGTTTGTGAAAGCACTAAAACAGCACCTGAAAGAGAGGAAGAAAGAAAGAATTCACTGAAAGTACTTGGAGTTTTACACCAAAATCTCAAGTATATGAAACAGTCTGATAGCTTCATGATAAAATAAATTACTGAACTGAATACTGATGTGTTGCAAATATGATTAATGTGACTCATTTCCTATAAGATAATGTGAAATGAGAGTGAGGAGAGAGTGGGAGGAATTTTGTTCTTTTTCTTATTTGTTAATTCAGACATGAAAGGATAAACGAGTTACAAAAAGAAATCTCAAATTGTGGCATGTAATCGTAGCTGGAAAGAGTTACCACTTTTCCGTATTTCTTTCAAAATTCTAGGTGCTTTATAGGCATACAAAACCACTGGTGTTTGTATGCAATTCATTCTGATTATGTTTTACACATATATCTGTATTATTTGTAGGTCTAAGAAGCGTTATCAGATACATTTCAGAATTGTCGAATACATCGTTACCATGTATCGTGAGGAAAGATTTAAAAAATATATTTTTTAACAATGGCAATTATTCTGTGTTTACTGGGAGGGGGAATAGGTGAAGATCATTACTTACTTCTGTAGAAAATTTTAATTTATGTCAAAGAAACAGTAATAGCACAGTAATGAATAACATTCCTTCTGTCAGGTCCATATATAAGGAGATATTTAACTCTTTCATTGTTATTGTTACTGCAGAGGATTTTATGTAGTCTTGGCTTTATCTGTAATTCTAGTCTTATTTCTATGCACGCTAACTGCATTTTAACCTGCTCTTTTCCTTTCCTTTTTTCTCTCTTTTGCATGCTTGCTTTCTCTCCTTTGAACGTTAGGAGCAAAAGCGTATAGATGGCACAACCCGTGAGGTGAAAAAGGTTAGAAAAGCCAGGAACAGGCGCCAGGAGTGGAATATGATGGCATATGACAAAGAGCTTAGACCTGACAACAGGTTGTCTCAAAATGTGTACCATGGAGCATCTTCAGAGGGATCACTGTCCCCAGATACTAGGTCTGTTTACAACAAGCCCTTTGCTATATCACAGTTATATGTTCTGAGATTCTGAGTAGCTTTAGATTGAGAATGTAGCAGTTAGTATAGAAAAGACACCATAAACATTTTAAACTTGTTCTCAAAAATGCTTTTAAAGTACTATGAAATTTAAGAAATATGTACTAATTGCTTTAAATTTCTGTACATCTACTCCTTATGTTTTTGTTATCTGAACTTCAGCATTGTATTTAACTCGTGTGATGGTGTTTGCTTCATATTTTATTTTTGCATTTTGAACAGATATAATTGAAAAAGATTTAGATCTATATATAATTGTTAGTTTTAGTGTCTCTTCCTTCATTTCAACCTTGATACATTTTATTGCTACTGACAGTACATGTTGTTTTTTCTGTGCAAGATGACTGTTAATCATTTCAGGATCTAGTCATCTGCGAGATCTTCAAGTGTTTTTCTATTTAAGTGAGAAATATTTTGAATACCTGGTGATGTATATAATTTTGCCTTTAGTTGGATGCTGTAATTGGGGAACAGTTCTTTATTGTCATTCTGCTTTTTTACAAAAGCAAGCTACAAAACCAGCTGCATCGTTATTGCTTAAAACAAGTCACTTTAAACAAAAATCTCCTCTCAGGTGCACACAACAGAGCTCATCTTCAGTATTCTGCTCCCGCCGTGTGTATGAAACTCCCTTTGAGCTCACTGGGAGATCTCTATGCAAAGGGAGAGCCAGACATCTGAGGCTGTTCCTCAAGTGGGTCTAGGCAGAGAGTTTTTCCCTAAACGGTTTTTCTGTGTGTCGAATTTAATTGATAGGCAGAAGAAACATAGGAAATAATTGGAATCTAGTGAAAAGCCAAACTATTTCACAATTCCAGTAAGTGTGTAGGTTGTTTACTTGCTGTGGCCATTAGGCAACAGCCACTGGGTAGGAGTGGGATTCATGTTTTCATTTCACTGGATAGTTGTGATTAATGAAGGGGAATCTGCTCAGAACTTTGTTTTTTCAATGTTGAATATTTTTTGTGTGCTGTAGACTTCTGCCAGATGATGTTGACTCTTTGGAAACCAGACAGAGTTTTTGTTGTTTCTTCCCTTTCCATCAGTGTTAAGTTTCAAGAGTTTGTGTTCAGACGTTGTCCCTTGTCTATATTTCTTTTTTTACCAGGAGTTTATTTTAGTTTACCATAATTTCTACAGCCAAAATGTGTCCTGCTAATCACTCAAATTTTTCTTTTTATACAAAGTTCTTTTAAGTTAGTATTTTCAAAATGTTGATCTGAATCTTGCTTGAATTTAGTGCCAGATAAAAGAATTTTGGTGGCTTGTGCACTATGGCAATGGGGGGGCTCCCACCTTCCCAGGTGGGAGGCCCTGGCACAGGGAGTGTATTCCAGAGCGAGCTTGTCCTGCTCTCACCCTGCTGCAACTCCTGCCTCCCAGCTTTGGCCTGTTGGCTCTTGCCACAGCCTGCAGACAGGGCCCGGCCCTCACCCCACCCCACCCTCTTCCCGGCACTGTTGGTTTTTTGTTTGTATGTGTGTATGTGGCTTTTCACACCCCATAGTGTTTGTGGGGCCTGAGATGGGGACCCTGTGCAAGTTTACCCATGGCACATTGGTTCATCCAGACCTGATTGAATTGATGGGATGATATCAGTGCCCATTACTCAACTGGAAGATGTAGATTTATTGCATCTCTAAATTTTCTTCCTTCACACACCTATCACCTTGCTTCCAGGGACCTTGAGATTAAAGAGTCACGTTTAATTTACCCTTTTCCTCTTTATTTCCCTGTAATGTCAAAACATGCATTCATCACGCTTTGTGTGCAGATTTTTATAATGTGAAGAAAGCAAGCTCTGGGAAATAGTTGCAATATGTAGCTTTCCCCAAGGAGGAACTGTAAAGACCCTCCACTAGGATCTGGGGTATTTTGGTGTGGGTGGAGGAAGGAAGATTATTTGTAGTATCAAGTTGGTTTTGCCATTGTACTATTCCTTTCTTATTACAGATTTTGAAATGTTTATAGCAATGTGAACAATGAATTTTGCATGAATCAAATACCTGCCTGTATTGGAAAGTCTAGAGAGACAAGGTGGGTGAGGTAATAATATCTTTTATCAGACCAACTTCTGTTGGTGAGAGATACAAGCTTTCAAGCTACACAGAGCTCTTCTTCAGGTCTGGGAAAGGTACCAAGTGTGTCACAGGTAAATAAATACAAGTTAGTTTAGCATAAGTAGTTAGCTCACATTCTATCTGTTTGATCTTGTATTTAGCTGTGACACTCTTAGTACCTTTCCCAGACCTGAAGAAGAGCTCTGTTTAGCTTGAAAGCTTGTCTCTCTCACCAACAGAAATTGATCCGATAACAAATATTACCTTACCCACCTTGTCTCTCTAGTATCCTGGGACTGAACATGGCTACAACAATGCTGCATTGCAGAAATCTGCACTTCAACTGTGGGTTAGTTGTGGGACTGTGGTAGGGTGAGGAAGAGATTTAGTAATTCGTATAATGCACCCTTTTAACCTTTATCTACCTTGAGAATGTTGTGGGAATGAAGCTATAAAAGTAAATATAGAAGTGAGTCCAGTTCTCACAAAAGTTGTCTTATGGTGATGAGACCAAATAGAAATGCCTATAAATAGAGTGCCTATATATAAACTAACTCATAAAATACAAATCGTTTTAGCTTTGTTGTAAATATTTGACAAAATAAAAAGATGTGCTTGTATTCATAGTATCTTGTTATATTTTAATACAGAGCTTAAGCAATTAAAAAGCCTTTGTTATTATGCTGTCCCAGTCAAATCCATAAAGTTTGAAATCCAAGTTTCCAGACTGTGTCTGCTTATTGCAATGCATTTATGTTACCCCTGTTGTGCTTCAGAGAGAGAGACACAAGCTGAATCCAAATAGAAACCAGCAAATAAATGTGAGAAAAGTAAGAACAAGAAAAGAAGAGTGGGAAAGAAGGAAAATGGGCATTGAGTTCATGAGTGACGCAAAGAAACTGGAGCAGGCAGGAAGCATGAAAAAGGACAAAATGCCCAAAGGGTGTGTCATTTTGTTTTACTCAAAACCCTGGCTTTTTGTTGCTTGCCTTGTTTCCAGTCTTAGAGATGACATGCATCATTTTACTGACTATCTGTTTTAACCAAGTGGCAGGCTGCACGACTGTTACTAATGCAGTACAGCTCTGTGCAATTATGGGATGAAGAGATCCTTTTGTTCCCTCTCTTGGGCTTATTTGACAAAGCATCATAGACTTTGCATCTTTATGAACTCTCTGCTCAACTAATAATATTTGCATTTTTCAGTATCTCTCAGCCTTTCCAACCAAACTACTTATGCGAATAAAGCAAGAAAGCCTTTAAAGATTAAGCTTTTGAAATTAGTTCTCTCTGCTTCGGTAAAATGTGTTTTTCTATATAACCGACTGCTTCCATTCTTGCTTTCTCTTTCTGCCTTCATTGTTAATACTTAGCTGGTTGCCCACAATTGTTAATTGTGTGTTGTCAAAAAAAAATCAGTGTTTCCTTGCAACTAGACGAGGACTAAAAAAAAAAGCTGTTATTGGTTTTGCTTTTTTCATTTAATTTGATTTATTCAACAGTATTCTGTCACAGAGTTAATATGCCAAAATATTGAAAAGATGCAAGCAAGCCCTGCAGATTAAGATTTGGTCTCTGTGTACTCCAGTTTGTCAGATTAATTCATTTTGAAGTTACATGGATCTGAACAGGGGCTGGCTGTTGCCTTAATAATTATATTGCTGCTGTTGTAGTTTCCATGGTCTGACAAATGCTTGATAATTAAAATAGGGAAACCCATCACAAGAAAAGTCATTCCCAGTGCAGCCATTAGCCTTACTGCTTAATAGTGGAGACAGTGTTCTGCTACACTCATGTGTTCTGTTCCACCCCATCCCATTTACTTTAATTTTAGGTCCCATGCATCCGATGTTACCGATTATTCTTATCCTGCTACTCCGAATCATTCCCTCCACCAGCAGCCAGTAATGTCTTCATATGGAACAGGAGATGGACCACAGTATATGGGTATAAACCAGGGCCTTGAGCATGAATATAGACCATCCTCTACCGCAGTGCGGCATGCTACTTTAAACAGACCTCAACAACCACCTCCACCTCCACCCCAGGCCTCTGATGGACCACACAGCTCTGTACCTTTGATACCAGCAGACTATGGGTAAAACTTCTGATTTACTGGCATGGGTTCTTGGAAAGACCAATAGAATGTGCATTTTTCATCATCATAATACAGTACTTAGGCCTTGTTTTACATGTTCAAAACTCTGTACAAACTTAGCTAATCCTGTTAACACCTCAGTAAGGTAGGTAGTAGGAAATCTGCTAATTTGCAAAGTATATTTAACAGTGTGAACTAAATGGAGGTGGGGTAATGTCAAAAACTGAAATCGTTAACAATGTATTTAATAACATTGATGTGATGGGTTGGACCCCCCCTTCTGGGTTGCCACCTGACGTACTGGGATTTCACTGAGTCTGCCTGCTCCACTAGCCTGGGCTCCCTCTCCCGGTTTGGCTGAATTAGGCTCTTGGGCCTCTGGCAGCAAACACACGCACAGGTAGGGACGCACTAGCTGTAGAATCACACAGAGTCTGCAAACAGCTCTCTATGAGAAGATTCAGCTAGGAAATTGCCCAGCATTCAAGTACAGCTCCCCTCTGGAAAGTACACCCAAAATACTATTGTCTTGTGCTGTAGAGAAATCTATACAACATAAGCTCATATATTCGCCCCCTCCCTCAATATAGAGGAAGATATGCACAACTTCTTGCCCCCCCCCCAGTTATAGATTGCACAAACTAGGTTTAATAATAAACAAAAACAAGTTTATTAACTATAAAAGGCAGATTTTAAGTGATTATAAGGGATAGCCAACAGAGCAAAGCAGATTACCAAGCAAATAAAACAGAACACACATACTGAGCTTAAGATCTTAAAGAGACTGGCTTCAAGAAATAATTTCTCACCCTAAATGTTGTTTTAGACAAGTTGCACAGTTTCTGTAGCTTAGCGTTCCAGTTATTTCTCTTTACAGACCAGACTCCTGTCTTAGTCTGGACTCAGCCCTTGCCTTTCCCACAGCTCAGTTCCTTTGTCTCTTCAGGTACTTTCAGCAGTCTTTCTTCTTGGGGAGGAAGGCAACGGAGAAGAGTCCTGTTTGCCTTTATCCCCAGCCTTAAGTAAGATTTACATAAAGTGGGAATCGTTTGTTTCCCAGTCTTGATCTCCCCCTCCTTTTAGTGGAAAATTACTAGAAGTCCAAGATGGTGTTTAGTACCAGGTGACAGGACCACCTGATGTAGTAGAGTCACAGCTAGTCCTAGGACGCGCCTCGCAGGAAAAAGAGAGATTAGTATCTTCACAGTCTTATTGTTTCTTCCTAATGGCCCATCAAGGCTGATTGCCTGTTTTCTGGTGGGTGTCTCCCAAATACACACACAGTTGTAATGGTTACAAAGTCAATATTTCTAACTTTAAATACAGAAATGATACATGCGTACAAATTGGATAAATAATCACATTCAGTAAGTTATAACCTTTCCGATGATACCTTACAAGACCCATCTTGCATAAAATATATCTGTTATGCCATATCATAAGCATATTTCTGTAAAGAATATGGGGTGCAACATAACAATTGATATGGCTGTAAAATATTAAAAACTTTCAATGCATTGCCAAACAAAGGGATAATGGCAAGATTTTCTTGTACATGAGGAAAAATAGCCACAGGGGTAGTGCACCGAAAAATATTGAAAACTGCAAGAAAACAATAGAAATAGATGCATATATTAATGATATTAGTTCCCACATTACATACGTGAGAGGTTAAAATGATTCTTTAGAAACAAATACATCTGCCTCACAGGGGTATTGAGAATTAAGGTAGATTCAGACAGTGTTTGTAAAAGCTCTTTGAATAAGAAAAGCCCTATATAGTGCTTGCCCTTAAAATTTTCAACTGCTTTGGATAACAATATAACGCTACCCTTCAGTATTTGCAATATTCCCTATATGAAAATCTAAGGAATTTGCTGGGGAAAGCTGCAAAAAGTGAGTTAATGGTACCTGAGGTAAAATGAGCATATTTTAAAGGGTCACCACTGTGTAAGTGCTAAGTGTTCAAATACTTCAGTCATTTCAGAAAAGCACTCTTCTTACTGACAAATATTTCAGTTTTTAAAAGTTACTTTTGTTCTTTTTTTATATAGGATGCTCCCAGCTCAGATGGTAGATTATTATAATCCTACTGGACCTCCCCCCACTCCTCTTCCCCCTATGATTCCTTCAGCACAAACTGCTTTTGTTAGTCCTCTTCAACTTCCTGTGCCACCTTCCCATTCTGGACTAGTGACCGGATCTACCTATGCTGCTGCTGCTCCTGCTCCTTCTCCTCCTCCTCCTTCTGGGCTTGTTGTTACAGCTTCCCCTCCCCCCGGCCCACCTCCTCCCCCACCAGGTCCCCCTGCTGCAGTTTCATCTCTCACGTCCTCCCCGATGCATGCTTTTACAGTTCCTGAAGGAAAACGACATGAATCCACACAGCCGCCAATCAGTGATGCTCGAAGTGATCTTCTTGCTGCTATTCGAATGGGTAAGTGAACACAGAGTTTAAGAGCTATTCCTTTTCCACAGTGAGACTACAGTGTCTCCTATGATTTGTGTTGATAGCTGCTGTTAGCCTCAACCTACAATTTCATCTTTATAATTTGCTGAGAGAAATACTTCACTACAAATGGCCCAGCCTAGGTATCTTGACAGTCCCTGCTCTTTGGACATGCGTTTTTGGTATGCCTTGACAGAGGGCTGGTCTCCACTACGGGAAGATCAACGCTGCTGCAATCGATGCAGCAGGGATCGATTTAGTGGGTCAAGTGAAGACCCACTAAATCGATGGCAGAGTGCCCTCCGATCGACCCCGGTACTCCAGCTCTCCGAGAAGAGTAAGGGAAGTCAACCGGAGAGCATCTCCCGTCGACTCAGCGCAGTGAAAACGCCGGGGTAAGTTGACCTAAGCTATGTCGACTCCAGTTACGTTATTCATGTAGCTAGAGTAGCGTAACTTAGATCAACTTACCCCGGTAGTGAAGACAAGCCCTCAGGGTGTTAATCTCCTTGCAATGCTTGGGGTGAGGTCTGTACAGCAAGTCACATGTTCCAAGGCTTACAGCTGATTTAAGATGAATTCAGGTGCTTGTTTGAATGAAGTTAAATGAAAACTTTTACTCATCTTCGGTATATGAAGTATTCTTTTAAAAAGTGTGCAGGTTCCATGGGGTCCCTTGCAACAGCTGTGAAATCCAAACATTGACTCCAGTGCATTTGATTTGGCTTTTTTTAACAGCTGAAAAATATTTTGAAATCAGGTGCTGCAGTCTTCATTCAGTTGTGCTTGCTTTAAAAAGCATAACCCTTTAAAATCCTTCAAGACACAATTTTGGCATCACTCCTACTGAAAATGTCCTATAGTCTTTTAGAACTTTAATTTAAATCATAGCAGGCTATTTTGAGAAAGTTATGGGCACATACTCTTGGAAAGACTGATGTCAGTCTACTTTGTGTGTGTCTCTTTCTTTCTTTCTTTCTTGATCAGGAAAGTTTTTATGACTTCCAGTCTGTCTTTTTTCCTTCACCTCTTGGAAATGCCTCTCAACTTTATTTAAAATATAAAATGCAGCAACAACCTTAAATTATATTTTAGGTGCAAAGAACTGTTTGTAAATAGAATTGTCTACCTGTCTATAGGAATTCAGCTGAAAAAGGTACAAGAGCAACGTGAACAAGAAGCAAAGCGAGAACCCGTTGGAAATGATGTGGCAACTATTCTTTCAAGGCGCATTGCTGTGGAGTACAGTGATTCTGATGATGATTCAGAATTTGATGAAAATGATTGGTCAGACTGAGTCCTGGTCCAAGTACAGGAACAGAATTCATGAAATGCTTTGCTCTAATAATGACACCATTAGCAGGACAGAAGGCAGGGCGTTGAAATGTATTAAAACTAGTGATCTAAGTACTAAAAATGAATTGGTGGTATTCAGAATGCAGTAGCTTAGCAACTCTTGTAATAATAATGTGGTTATGCTGATGCAGATCCAAAAATTCAGTCTTACTTTCAATATTTACTGCATAATACATAAGTGCCACTAAATGTAGCAAATCGTGTGCTGCACGCAAAGTGTGCTGCAGTTGTTGCACTGTTACAAAACCAGCATTTTGTTTTACTTTCTTGATCATGAAGGTATAACTATATTTTTACTTTACATCTTATCTTTATAATGTTGCAATCTAGATACTTGTGAAACTGTCTGGCTGTTAGTCATGTAGGTCTTTGAGGAGAGTCAATGATACATGACTGGGCAATGTCTTCAGGTCCTTAAATGTCATCTTTTTAGCATTTTTCAGAAATTAATCATGTAATCTTAAAATCTAACAGACAGCAACTAATGTCTTCTTACACATTATTTTTAAGGAATTTTTTGATTTAGTTACTTATATTATTTTAATCTCCTATACACATTCTCGCTATATACAATCACAAATGAAATGTAAGTTTGAAGAGTCAATTCACAGGATTTACTAGTTATTTCTGAGAGAGGACTGGATGACTCAGTCAGTAACCGGAGGTTGCTGGCTGGTGGTTTGACAGTAAAATAACAGCATGGTCTCAGTTCAGTATGTAGTAGACACATGTTCACATTACAGAAACCACAATTGGAATTGACACTCTTTTTGGCACTCTCTGGACATGGATTGACTATACTTGAAGTTTGAAATGCCCTGTTACACTCAGGAGTGGTTTTTAGATACCTGAGTGGAGCCACTTTGTCAGTACAGAGTGGGAAGCTTACTCTACTACTGGTAATACTATGTCTGTTACGTGGATGAATGGAACGACTTCAGTTCAGTGCTAGCAATTGGATACATTTCACAAGTACTAAACTTAGTTTTTTATTCCTGTAGATATAAATATATGTAGATAGACTTTTGCTTATATGGAATGTGTGTAGTCATGTAATGTCATTTCAGTTTCTTATAACTCACTCATTAAAGGCCCTTGATTTTTGAATGTATTTCTATCCCAGTATGTCCCATTTATATAACACTGACAATTAAAATGGCTTAATTGGTGTTTAGTTACCATGCTGTATATATTTTCAGTTTCTTCTAGAAAAGAAGGCTACCGTACAGTCTGCTTTTGCGCTTTCTCTGTTCCCTTTAAAAATAATTAATACTTTATTCAATACAATATTGAAATTTGCATATAGTTTTTCTTTTGTACACTGCGACTCAGACTGCTTCCTTCCCTAATAAGGCTTTATGTGTGTGTGTGTGTGTGTGTGTGTGTGTGTGTGAGAGAGAGGGAAGGATTGGTCTTTTTTTTTTTTTTCCTTACCAGATTACAATTGTAATCTTTGTAACAGAAGAGATCTCTATAATTTCAGGTCAAATATTTGGTAAAGCTCTTTTGTTCTGCAAGGCCCTTCTGTCCTTAAGAAGGAAGGGAAGGAGATGCATCTAGCCTTTATCCGCGTTCACTCTGAACCTCCCTTCCTCTTGAGCCATGCTCACTCACAGCAGGTTTTACTTTTGTCCAAAGAAAATAATATTCAGCCTGTCACAATATTCACATATTACATTATTGGCTACTTTATTACTGTGTAATCTGCATGCGAGTTTCTGATTTGACTTCAGTTTATAGTAGTGTGGCAAAAATGCCTTTGCCTCCCTGTTTATGTTTTACTGCCCGTTAAGGGCCTTCTCCTGGAAGGTGCTGAACGATGGTTAGTCAATGGGAAAGGAGGGCACTCAGCACCTTCTAGGATTGTTTTTGCTTTAAAATACAGGGCTAAATTCTACTTCTGGTCTGGTGGTTCCTCATTAACATGTGAGAGACATTGTTTGTGTTGGTCATAAGGATATAATTGTTATACTGTACTTTGCAAAATGCACCAAAATGATTCTGTGGGTGAGCAAATAAAATGGACAAAAGTGCAGCTAATACTGCAGTATTATCCAGTGTCACGATATGGGTGAGAGAGGTACTTTCAATAGTCTTTTGATATGTGTTGAGGTGAAATATTCTGACATCACAAATAATTCTTTCCATTGTAATGAAATCTGATATGACAAAAATATATTTTATGAGCACAGAGACTGAGTGTACCATGGAAATTTTGTAATATGCATCAATTAGTTTTAAATGATAAATATAAAACAAATGATAATTTGTGATCAGTTAAAGATAAGTGGAATTTTTCAGCCATAGTAGCCAATCTGTTTTTCTGAACTTGGAGTATTTTGTCATCTCCGTTCAGTATTTTATCAATACGAATTTAAATCGAATTTAGTGATGTAAACTAACTAACTCTTAGGTCATTTTTATCTGTTTGTATATCTTACTCTGGGTTATGTAAAAGTAACAAATATGAATAAAGTATCACTTTTGCGCCTTTGTGTTTCTTTTCTTGGACTACATGGCATGCGTTTTGCTGCTAAATTATTTTTAGCTTGATTAGTTTTTTGGTTTGCTAAATAATAGCATCAATGATAACCTGATACTTTTGAACTACTATGTAATAAGAAAAGGAGTACTTGTGGCACCTTAGAGACTAACCAATTTATTTGAGCATAAGCTTTCGTGAGCTACAGCTCACTTCATCGGAGGCATACTGTGGAAAATACAGAAGATGTTTGTTTTTATACACACAAATCATGAAAAAATGGGTGTTTATCACTACAAAAGGTTTTCTCTCCCCCCACCCCACTCTCCTGCTGGTAATAGCTTATGTAAAGTGATCACTCTCCTTACAATGTGTATGATAATCAAGGTGGGCCATTTCCAGCACAAATCCCGGTTTTCTCCCCCACACCCCCGCAAACAAACCCACCCTCCTGTAGGTAATAGCTTATCTAAAGTGATCCCTCTCCTTACAATGTGAATGATAATCCTGGGCGCCCCATCATCTCAGGCATTGGCACCCTGACAGCAGGATTGTCTGGCTATGTAGACTCCCTCCTCAGGCCCTACGCTACCAGCACTCCCAGTTACCTTCGAGACACCACTGCCTGAGGAAACTACAATCCATCGGTGATCTTCCTGATAACACCATCCTGGCCACTATGGATGTAGAAGCCCTCTACACCAACATTCCACACAAAGATGGACTACAAGCCGTCAAGAACACTATCCCCGATAATGTCACGGCTAACCTGGTGGCTGAACTTTGTGACCTTGTCCTTACCCATAACTATTTTACATTTGGGGACAATGTATACCTTCAAATCAGCGGCACTGCTATGGGTACCTGCATGGCCCCACAGTATGCCAACATTTTTATGGCTGACTAAGAGCAACGCTTCCTCAGCTCTCGTCCCCTAACGCCCCTACTCCACTTCCGCTATATTGATGACATCTTCATCATCTGGACCCATGGAAAAGAAGCTCTTGAGGAATTCCACTATGATTTCAACAATTTCCATCCCACCATCAACCTCAGTCTGGTCCAGTCCACACAAGAGATCCACTTCCTGGACACTACAGTGCTAATAAACAATGGTCACATAAACACCACCCTATACCGGAAACCTACTGACCGCTATTCCTACCTACATGCCTCCAGCTTTCACCCTGACCACACCACATGATCCATCGTCTACAGTCAAGCTCTGCGATACAACCGCATTTGCTCCAACCCCTCAGACAGAGACAAACACCTACAAGATCTCTGTCAAGCATTCTTACAACTACAATACCCACCTGCGGAAGTGAAGAAACAGATTGATAGAGCCAGAATGGTTCCCAGAAGTCACCTACTACAGGACAGGCCTAACAAAGAAAATAACAGAATGCCACTTGCCATCACCTTCAGCCCCCAACTAAAACCCCTCCAACGCATTATCAGGGATCTACAACCTATCCTGAAGGATGACCCAACACTCTCACAAATCCTGGGAGACAGGCCAGTCCTTGCCTACAAACAGCCCCCCAACCTGAAGCGAATGCTCACCAGCAACCACATACCACACAACAGAACCACTAACCCAGGAACCTATCCTTGCAACAAAGCCCGTTGCCAACTGTGCCCACATATCTATTCAGGGGACACCATCACAGGGCCTAATAACATCAGCCACACTATCAGAGGCTCGTTCACCTGCACATCCACCAATGTGATATATGCCATCATGTGCCAGCAATGCCCCTCTGCCATGTACATTGGTCAAACTGGACAGTCTCTACGTAAAAGAATAAATGGACACCAATCAGATGTCAAGAATTATAACATTCATAAACCAGTCGGAGAACACTTCAATCTCTCTGGTCATGTGATTACAGACATAAAAGTTGCGATATTACAACAGAAAAACTTCAAATCCAGACTCCAGCGAGAGACAGCTGAATTGGAATTCATTTGCAAATTGGGTACAATTAACTTAGGTTACCTTGCATAATGACTTAGCCACTCCCAGTCTCCATTCAAGCCTATTTCCCCTTGTTTTCCTAACCCCTCCCTTCCTCAGACGTTCTTGTTAAACCCTAGATTTGTGCTGGAAATGGCCCACCTTGATTATCATACACATTGTAAGGAGAGGTTTCAGAGTAACAGCCGTGTTAGTCTGTATTCGCAAAAAGAAAAGGAGTACTTGTGGCACCTTAGAGACTAACCAATTTATTTGAGCATAAGCTTTCGTGAGCTACAGCTCACTTCATCGGATGCATGAAGGTGCCACAAGTACTCCTTTTCTTATTGTAAGGAGAGTGATCACTTTAGATAAGCTATTACCAATAGGAGAGTGGGTTTGTTTTGGGGGGGTGGGAGAGAAAACCTGGATTTGTGCTGGAAATGGCCCACCTTGATTATCATACACATTGTAAGGAGAGTGATCACTTTACATAAGCTATTACCAGCAGGAGAGTGGGGTGGGGGGAGAGAAAACCTTTTGTAGTGATAAACACCCATTTTTTCATGATTTGTGTGTATAAAAACAAACATCTTCTGTATTTTCCACAGTATGCCTCCGATGAAGTGAGCTGTAGCTCACGAAAGCTCATGCTCAAATAAATTGGTTAGTCTCTAAGGTGCCACAAGTACTCCTTTTCTTTTTGCGAATACAGACTAACACGGCTGTTACTCTGAAACCTGTTACTATGTAATAGTTATGCTCATATAATATCCCTTTAATTTTTCCTCAAAGATGGACTAGTCGGGATACTTGTTCATCAGTTTTATAGTATTTTTGTTTCCAACAACTTGTCCTATACAAATAGCTACTCAGTTGTGTTTTCCAGTTGCCAAAAAAGTATAATTTAATAGCAAATACTAAAGAATGCAACTGGCTTGAGGTATCTATTGCAGAGGAAAATTGCTTTCTAGTTGAATTCGTAATTAGCATAGTAAGAAGGATGCCCTTTGACATTAGTTTCAAAGAAGACATTCAAAAATTTGTGCATGCACACAATGAGGATAGTCTGCTAAATCATTTTGACTTGTAATGTTAATCAGTGGTCATATTAGGCGAGGGAAGCATTGGTTATATTGTACTGTTACGAGCTCCTTCCACAGCCCAGAAGACACCACTGTCAGGAGTTGTGTGCTGGTTGTGGGAGGGGTCTCTCTGTAATGGGCTGCCATTTCTCTTGTGAAACCAGACTCTTGTTGGGACAGCTGCTTCTCCTAGCCTGCTGGGGGCATTCCTGGGTGGTTGTTTCTCCAGCCACCGTGATTCAAGCAGCAGCAGGAACGAGTTGTCTGTTTACACACCAGCCAATGTCATCTTCCTTGGTGGCACTTCTGCCTCACTTCCCAGCTTGACGGTGAAGGTTTGGGCTGCCTTCAGAGCAGAAGAAGCTTCCATGTGGCCCATCGCCCCAAGCAGTGATTGTGGTTTGACCTGCCTCTCTGTTGAAGTGGCGCAGTTCAGCTCCTGCCCTACCCCATGTGCAGCAGAAGTGGGTGGTAGCTTGGTTGTTCCCTCAGCTGTGGCTCCGGGGACTTCTGATGCTGCAGCTTGACTTTGGTGATGCTGACACAGTGAGGGACTCCTAGATGGGGCAGTATCTGTGCTTTTAAAAAAGGCAGGTTTTCAGCCATATGCTGCACCATTAATTCAAATTTTCATTTCAGATCATGGGAACTTGATTTTCAGAATACCCCTTCTTTACAAAGCTTTCCTTGAGCCACCTGCTGCCAGGCTATAATATGTATCTGGACTTCAGGCTGCCCACATGAGAAAATACCTTCCTTACTCTACTGCCTTTCATAATGACTTGTGGATGCTAGAATATTTAGAGACAAACATGCGGAGCTCTTGAATACATATCTTGTAAAGATTTGCAATTTATCCAATAATGCATGCATAGAAACACCCCATGCTTCGGGAAATTTCAAAACATTTTAGATGGCACATAAGTAATTTATAAAAGGGTAAGATAATGTACCAAAACTTTCTGTTCTGGGACAGGTCAACCAAACTCTCATTGGATGGGAAATTAATACTTGTCATCTAAGGGTATGCCCACACTGGGAAGTTTCTGGGCAATGAGTTATACTGTTTTCATTAAAGCGCTGGAATTAAACCGCAGTTGCGTGTCCACACTGTACTCCTCGTGACGGTGGAGCACATCCACATTAGCATGTCTTGCAACAGCAAGGAGAGCAGTGGATTGTGGTAGCTATCCAACAGTGCAACTGACCACAGGGTGCTTTGGGAAGAGCTTTGCAATGCCTCATGGGGCAGGCACAGTGTCACATGATGCAGGTTTCCCAATCCCATTGTTCAATGGGCATCCTACTACATGGCCAGCTGCTTTTCAACTGAAGGGGGGGGGGCAGTGTGTGTGACAGGGACTGTGTGTGTGTGTGTGTGTGTATGGAGGGAGAGAGACGTGTTTTTGGGGGACAGCGTGTGTCAGCATGCTGTCTTGTAAGTTCAGACAGTGGCAGGAAGCAAGCAGTCCTGAAGTGGGGGGGGACCCTGATATCAGCCCCCACCTCCCTCCCCAGCTCTCTGCACAGCAATCTGTCTGTCTCTCTCTCACGCACACACACCTGTCTCTGTGTTCAACACCACAAGCATTCCACATTAACAGATTGCTTTGTGTCCTGGAGCAGATCAGCACAGCACACAAAGGCTGTCAGAAATGAAGCTTTGAAAGGGGAGGGGCGCATGTCTCCAGGGCGGTTGAGTTCAAAACAATGAGCAGAGCGGCCACTTGAGGGATTATGGTACACTTACGGAGGCCAATTGTTGCTTTGTGCTCTGTAATATGTTTACATTGCCAATACAGCACTGGAGCCTCTGTGCTTTCAGGGTTATGACTCTCATTGAAGTGAGGTTTTTTTGCAACGCTGCAACTTTGGCGTTTCTGCGCCCTAAGTGGCTTGGCAGTGTGTGCACCTCGGGAGTTACACTGCAGAAAATTGCTTTACTGTGCAGTAACTTGCCAGTG